CTCAAGGCTAGCACTCTACCACTTGAGCCACAGCGCCACTTCCGGCTTTTTTCTTTTTGCTTATGTGGTGCTGAGGAATCAAACCCAGGGCCTCGTCGAGCATGCAAGGCAAGCGTTCTACCACTGAACCACCTTCCCAGCCCCTTGAAAGTATATTTTAACTTGAAATTAGTTCACTCTCTCCCTAAGGAAAATGAATACATTTACTAGTTCACTACCTTTTAACACTACAGTACAGAGAAAAGGGAAAAATAAAGATTAAAAATAGTCCAACTCTCCATTTTGCAACTGAGTCACCTCTCAAATACTCCAATTTTTGGCTGGGTGTTTGTAATTCCATATACTTGGGTAGTTATAGTAGAAATATCTCAATACAAGGCCAATCATTGGCAAAAACGAGATCCTATCTGAAAAATAACTTAAAAACAAAAAAATTGTTGGCGGCATGGCTCAAGTTGCAGACTACCTGCATATCAAGAGTGAGATCCTAAACCTATACTTAAGTACTCCCCCAAAATAGCTTTCTGTTTTTCTTTTTCTTTCCTTCTTCCTTTTTTTTTTTTTCTTTTTCTAGTCCTCGGGCTTGAACTCAGAGCTTGGGCATTGTCCCTGAGCTTCTTTTGCTCAAGGCTAGCACTTTACCACTTGAGCCACAGTGCCACTTTTGGCCTTTTCTATTTGTGTGGTACTGAGGAATTGAACCCAGGCCTTCAAGTACTCTACCATTAAACCACATTCCCAGCCATAAAAGTCAGCTTTCTAAACTACAGATACCAAAGCGGAACATAGTCATAAAAGCAGTATCTGGGAATTCCCATTTCTAGAAATATATCTGAAGAAAGTCAGATTAAAAATAAGATTGAGCAACAAGAGCATAATTTCTTATATTGAAAAATAAGGGTTTGGAGCTGGGAATAAGCTGTAGCTCAAGTGGAAGAGTGCTAGTCTTGAGCAAAAGAAGCTCAGGGACAGTGCCCTAGGCCCTGAATTCAAGCCCCAGGACTGACCAAAAAAAAAAGAGAGAGAGAGAGGGAGAAAGGAAGGGAGAGAGAGAGAGGAAAGAAAGAAAAGAAAGATAGAGAAAAAGGAAGAAAAGGGTTTGATTTGGTGATATATGACTGAAATCCTAGCTTGGAGGTAGAGACAGGAAGTTTTGTTGTTGTTGTTGTTGTTGTTGTTGTTATTGTCCTATGGTTGAACTCAGGGAATGAATGACTACTGTCCCTGAGCTTTTTTACTCAAGGGTAATGTTCTACTATTTGAGCCTAAGCTGCACTTCTGCCTTTTTTTCTGGTCAATTGAAGATAAGAGTCTCACAGACTTTCCAGCACAGGCTGGCCTTGAACCATAACCCTCAGATCTGAACCTACTGAGTAGCTAGCATTACAGACAAGAGCCAACAGTGCCCAGATCTTGAGTTCAAGGCCAGTTGGGGCAAATTTTTGAGACCATACCTTAGAAACAAAATACAAAACAAAAGAACATCCCAGATGTCTACAATAGATGAGTGGATCCAAAATATGTGATGCCTATGTTATAAGAAACAGAGAAGCTTAAAAGGCCAAATTATGAGACTTTATTGGAGAGCCAGAGGACTGCTGGTACACTCTTGTCTCAAAGACAAACACAGAAGTGCAATACCTATGTGCATCTGATTATATAACATAATGCTTACTGATTATGTAACATAATGTGAACTTCAGGAAATGGATATAAGAGCTTTTTCCTTTGTTGTTGGTTTGTTTTCTTTTCCTTTTTTTTTTTTCTTCTTTTCTTGTTATCTGTCTTTGGGAGGATGAGGGCACAGAAATGGAGGTACCAAGGGTGAACAATGCATCAGTAGACACTATGTAGGAAATGAAATATTCAACTTGTGGGTGGGGATGGGAGGGAACAACTGGGAGAAAGCGAGGGAAGGGGTGACGTTGTCCAAAAAGAAATGTGCTCTTTACCTGATTTATTGAACTCTAACCACTCTGTACATCACCTTTATAATAACAACTATTAGTATTAATTTTTTTTGTTGGTTGTCGGGCTTGACCTGGAGGCCTGGGTCTTAGCTCTCTTAGCTCTTTTTGCTCAAACCTAGTGCTCTACCTCTTGAGCATCACTTCATTTTCTATTGGTTAATTAGAGATAAGAGTCTCACAGACTTTCCTGCCTGGGCTGGCTTCAAACCCTGATCCTCATATCTCAACTTCCTGAGTAGCTAGGATTACAGGCGTGAACCACCAGAACCCAGCTATAATAACAATTTTAAAAAGGAAGACAAATAAAGGCCTGGGAACTTGCCCCAAAAGGAAGAATGCTTGCTTGCCCAGTATGCGTGAAGCCTTGGGTTTAGTTGCCAGTACAAAAAATAAAAAGATGACCAAATGACCAATATGCATTTGAAACCATGTTTAACATTATTCCCCACAGGAAGTATAAAGTGAACCACCATCTACCACAGTGTGCCTATAAGAAATTAAGATCACACAAAAAAAACACTAGCAGCATCTAATTTGGCAAACAATGCAGAGTAACCAACATTTTTTTGTATATTGCTAGTGTGAGTCCAGGTTATAATAGCTATTTTTGGACAATTTGGCAGGACTACATAAAGTTGTATTACATGTACCCTATGAGACCTCCTGAGATTCCCGTGCTTATGCTTCACAGATAATATGCAGAAAGCTCTGAACCATAAAACAAATGGCAGCTTCTTCCTAGCAGCAGGTTCTTACTTGCTAAAAGTTGGAAATAGCCTGAATATCTTACCAAGAGGAATTCAGATGAATTTAGCTATGTTTACACATAGGAATACTATCCATTCATGAGAAAGAAACCTCACCTTATATGACAATATGTGAATTTATAGACATATCTTGAGCAAAATAAGCCAGAATCTATACTCTAGGATTCCATTTATACATTTCATTTTATTTATTTTTGTTTACTTTTGAGATGGTGTCTCACTGTGCTTTCCAAGTTGGTCTCAAATTTACTCAACTCAAAGGATTCTGTAGCCTGTCTCCTGGCTAGCTCAGACTGTATGCGTGTTCCACTGTACCTGGCTGCGTTTATATACTTCTCTATTCTACTCTCCATTGTTCTTCCGTTGTATATCTTTTATGTAGAAAAAATTCTCTTTCTCGGCCATAGAATTGTCTTTATTGACCCTTTTGTGGTTTTCACAGAGGTAGCCGAGGAGCTGGGGAGAGCTGCCTCCTCGTCATCTGTTGTTCCGTACCTGCCCAGATTACCTATACTTCCTTCTAAGACAAGAACACTGAAGAAACAGCTGGAGGACAAGGAGAACACTGAAGGATCCCAAGATGCTACAGAGGATCCTGCTTCCAGTTCAGCACCAGGTAGAATCAAAACAGAAACTTCCTTAAAGAGCCTCATGGCTTGATGCTGTTGTACCTGTTTTCATGCACTTTTTGTCTAAGGACAGCAAGACACTCTGGTCTTTGGCCCTTTATTGCTAGTGCTGGCAGTCCTTTCTAAGGCCTGATTATAATTTTGTCATCCACTCCATTAAGCTCCTGGCTCCCACATAGATCCCATGCTTCCAATTTGCAAGGGAGATGGTGGGGGGAGGAAGGAGTCTTTTATTGAGCCTTATAGATAATGCCACTTTAAGAAAAAGGATGAATATTGAGGTGATAACCAACAGGTTATTTCTCCCCATCTATATTTACATCACATTTGGAACATTAATCACTGTGAAATGATAGTCTGTTACTTAATTTCTTCTGAGTAATGGCAGCACCTGACAATAAATACTGACAAATCTTTTATAAGGGAGCCTTAGTCACGATAATAGTTTCACTTCTTGTCTTTTACATTGTTGATTGTCTGTTTCTCATCAGGGTTCATTAGAAGTGCACAGGCCTCCTCTGGGTCCCCAGCACTGCCTCGAAAGCAAAGAGACAAATCACCCAGTAGCCTCTTGGAAGATGCCAAAGAGACTTGCTTCACCAGAGATAGGAAGGGGGGTTTCTTCAGCTCCTTCATGAAGAAGAGAAATGCTCCCACACCCCCTAAACGCAGCAGTTCCTTTCGAGAAATGGAGAATCAGCCCCACAAGAAATACGAACTCACGGGTAACTTCTCATCTGTTGCTTCTCTACAGCATGCTGATGGGTTCTCTTTCACTCCTGCCCAGCAAGAGGCGAATCTAGTGCCATCCAAATGCTATGGGGGGAGCTTTGCACAGAGGAACCTCAGTAATGATGACAGTGGAGGGGGTGGGTGGTCTGGCATCACAGGCTTCTTTACACCTCGCTTAATCAAAAAGACACTTGGCTTACGAGCAGGTAAACCCTCAGCCAGTGATGACACTTCCAAGCCTTTTCCAAGGTCAAACTCTACATCTTCCATGTCCTCAGGGCTTCCAGAGCAGGACAGGATGGCAATGACCCTTCCCAGGAACTGCCAGAGGTCCAAACTCCAGCTTGAAAGGACAGTGTCCACCTCTTCTCAGCCAGAAGAGAATGTGGACAGGGCCAGTGACATGCTTCCAAAAAAATCAGAGGACAGTGCTGCTCCAACCAGGGAGAGACCAAAAGCCAAACTATTGCCCAGAGGAGCCACAGCCCTTCCTCTGAGAGCTCCCTCTGGGGATCCAGCCATTACAGAGAAGGACTCTTCAGGGGTGGGGGTGCCTGGAATAGCAGCTGCCCCCAAGAGTAAGGAGAAGAATGGTGGTACACGACTTGGGGCGGCTGGAGTCGCAGAGGATGCAGAGCAGCCGGGTTGGTCTTCTCCAGCTAAGGCTGCAGCTATCCTCCCAACCACTCACAACCACAAAGTGCCAGTCCTGATTTCACCCACTCTGAAACACACTCCAGCTGACGTGCAGCTCATTGGCACAGACTCTCAGGGGAATAAATTCAAGCTCTTGTCTGAGCATCAGGTCGCATCCTCTGGAGACAAGGACAGACCCCGACGGGTAAAACCAAAGTGTGCCCCACCTCCACCACCGGTGATGAGACTACTGCAGCATCCATCCGCATGCTCAGACCCTGCAGAAGAGCCAACTGCCCCGACTGTAGGACAGCCCACTTCAGAAACCCAGGAAGGCGGGAAAAAGGCAGCTACTGGAGCTGTGCCTAGCAGTGGGAAACCTGTGAGGCCAGCGATGCCTCCACCTCAAGTGCCTCTGCCCACACCTTCCATCTCGCCAGCCAAAATAGCCAATGGCACAGCAGGTACTAAAGTGGCTCTGAGAAAAACCAAACAGACTTCTGAGAAAATCTCCGCAGACAAAATCAGCAAAGAGGCCCTGCTAGAATGTGCTGACCTACTGTCCAGTGCGATTACGGAACCTGTACCCAATAGCCAACTGGTAGACACTGGACACCAGCTGCTTGACTACTGCTCAGGCTACGTGGACTGCATTCCCCAGACTCGCAACAAATTTGCCTTCCGAGAGGCTGTGAGCAAACTGGAACTCAGTCTGCAGGAGCTGCAGGTTTCTTCAGCAGTTGCTGGTGTACCTGGGGCAAACCCTGTCCTTAATAACTTATTGTCATGTGTACAGGAAATTAGTGATGTGGTGCAAAGGTAGCCACTGTTAGCCTAACAGGAGATGCACACATTTCTGAGGGAGAAGGACTTTATTTCCCTTTGATCTTATTTTCAAAAAAATGAGACTGATACTTGAGTGTGTTTATGTGAAGTACCTCAGATCCCTGGGTTCTCACGTTTACAGGTTCATCTCAAAAAAATCACAAAAGGCAAGCCACATACGTATGAGAGTGGTAAATTCAGTGAAGGCAAGACAGTGGTGGAAAGCGTTGGAAAATGCACTGGAAAATCAGGGAACTTGTGTCTGTCATAGAAATAAGAAACGTAGCCCTTTCCTGCCTGGAAGAGCGAACATGCTAGTCTGGCTGCACTCACTTGGGTATTGGTCTGGGCTCTGGTAGTATAATTGTGCTCCAAATCTCTTTAACAGTTTAGGAGAACAGAAGAAAAGTAACATGAGAAGTTCTATTCAAGATTGTTGGAGGTGGCTTTTGGCCTTGCTTCCACAGGTCAATGCTGCTGTAGTAAGAACTGCAAATCAGATTACAAGAGTACAAAACAAGGAAATATGGCCTTGTCTTTCTGTTCCTATCCTGATTTCCATTGTTGCATTAGTTGGTACAGGAATGCTGAAAAATTTACTGAGGGAGGTTAAAATCTCCTCCAAAAATCTTACATTAAAAGCAGTCATTTCCCCCAGTCTCTAGTATATTGTTTACTATGGACCAGGATCGACTTTCTGCTTTGTTGGTGACTATCGGTAAACCTTACATATAACTGTCTACTTAATGGTTCTTCTCTGTCCCTTGCCAGGCAAGCTGTCTTCCTTTATTTCTAGTAGCATTCAGGGCATTAACTAGCATTAATTTTGAAAATAGTGGCCACTACAGGTCTTCACAGGGAAGCCTTTTCTTACATAGTACCTTGCACACTGATAAATTGGCCAAGGACATGAGCCGTTGAGTACTTAACTAAGATCCAGCTAAGCCAAGAAGCTTGCAACTGCATGGAGAAACTAGGTTGATCAATATGGCTTTTTCCTCTGTACCTTTATTTTCCTTTCTCACCTTAAACCCAATCTGAGTGGACCTAGGGAAAGGTGTTCTCTCAGTTACATATTTTCACATGCTCTTCTCTGACCACCTGCTTGTCCCACCTCCATGATTATACTTGTTTGTGTCATTCATAATGGGAATATTATTTTGTAATTCACCTCAGTTTAATTACAGAGTACAGATTTGGAGGAATTTGTGGGTTTTGGAGTATCAGTTAGACCCTGGGAAGCCAATAACATAATCATCAAATGTGTTTGCCCTAAAAAAAATAGTCATTTCTCTTCCCTACAGTTAAAATTATGGACACTAAGTAGGATGGCGTAGAACTGGATTTAATGGGTTAGACATTAATAATGCTCTTTTACCAGGTTTTGCTCTAGTTTCTGCTTTTTTTTTTTTAATGAACACTGTATTCCCCAAGGAGAACCCAATGCAAAATATTTTTATTTTTTTCTTCCAAATAATTTCAGATGTAAGATAGAAATTCAACATTGAACAGCATGTTTTCTTCCTGGCTTTTTTATTGTTCTGCTGCCAAACCACAGTCCCATCTTTTAATCTATTAAATACATGTTCTCAAGGGTGTTTTGCAAATAATTATTTAGCTACCCCATGGAGAGCATCTCTGAAAATCTCTATAGTTCCGTGCTGTTATAGTGGATTGTTTTTTATTTTCTTGGCCGAGCAGCAGGTACTAATGGAATTTAGGCCTGTTGAGCTTATATTGAGAATAGAATACTAAGGGTAAAACTATCTTGGATAGAGTTGGGCAACTTTGTCCAGGGAAGAAATTTTCATTTTCATTAGAAAGATTCTTATTGCTGCTCCAGAAGAGGCTCCAATTAACAGAAGAACTGGGGAGAACGAGGCAGGACTGGTCATCTTGATAGATTTCGGATGATCTGTGTGGGTTTATTACCTACAGCAGCTAGTGTGTAGCTTAGTTTCCTTATAATAATTGGGAAAGACCTAGTATTTAAAAATCCAACTCTTAACCTTTTTCCTTGGCATCCTCATCCCCATCTGTGTCCTTAAACTTGAACTTATTTTAGCAGTTTTCAACCTTCTAATAGTGGGCAGGAGGAATTTCAAATTTTACAATATTATTATGCTGCTTTTTACATTTATCCCTGTCATTATGGGATGTGAGTTAAAGGATTATAATTATTTTCAGGGGATTTTTTTTTTTTTAACAAGGGCTCTGTTTTTTCCTTAAGAGTTCTGAAAATAAGCCTTGGAGAAATACTGCTTACTATATTTGAGCCGCTTTGTTTTCTCACCACAGCTGAGAAACAGCCAGGGCTGTTTCTTACTCAGGGCAGCACCTAATTGTTTCTTGCTTCTAGTCGGTGCTCAGTAAATTCATAAATTTAATTTTTAGTTTAACTATAAGTCTGCCATGATTGCCATCAACTATTCTAGCACCCCCCATTCATGAAATGCTTGAACTTTTTAACTTCAGGGGTTGAGGGTTAGGGATTCAGGTTAAAGAGACGCTGTCAACTTCTTATAAAAGTATCATTTAGATGGTTCATTTTTCTACGTTCAGAGCTCAAAGAAAAAAGCCTCGTGTAAATTAAAAGGTTTGAATTCAAGCCAGAGAAAACTGCTTTTAGAAACTGAACTTTTGGTTAATTTTATCTATCTAAAAGCAATACAGAGAATAAGAGAAAAGGTTCTTGTACAACATATCAGCTAATTTCTAATTGGTTATATGCATTACCCGCATTTTGGATGCTACAGCTTGATTCCTTTCATCTACTCTTAATAGGATTTCAGTTTAGATCTCCTGCCTTAAAATCCAGTGTTTTATCTTGAGTACTTCTTGGTTGTGCTTTACACAAATTACTCTCTTGGAAGGCTTTGTGTAAAATTAACAATTTCATATTAAGTGAAGCCTCCCATCATTATTTCTAGAGATAGAGTTATAAATTTTTTTGCTCTCAGCCAGGAGTGGGTGGCACATGCCTGTAATCCTAGTTATTAAAGAGGTTGAGAGAGATCTGTGGATCAAAGACAGCCTAGGTTGAAAGTGTGAGATTAACTAGAATAAGTTGGAAGTGATGGTAAGGCTCAAGTGGTAGAATGCCAGTATAGGAGAGAGGTAGGAAAAGCTGAATGAGAGCACAAGCCCTGAGTTTAGTTCACACACACACACACCACACACACACACATGTGTACACGCACGCACACACATTTGCTGTCTCATAAACAGTTTATTTTGCACATGTTCTTATAGTGAATTGAACATGGTACCAAGTTGTGAGCTCTATTATGCAAGAAATGCATTCTGTCTTTTCTAATGACTTCTGCAGAGACGTTATTCTAGTTTGTACAGGCCCTTTCCTACTCTCATTTCTAGGTTTAAAATAGAAATTTTCTTACACTTTTAAAAACTTGGTTAGTAAAACAGTTGATAGTTAATACAACATGCTGCTTTTGGTAAGGCCCAGTTCATAATTATTTAACTAAAGTCACAGAGATTTTGTGTCTAAAGATGCAGTATAGACAATGGTTTAGAATTTGAGCTTTGAAGCCAGTCTAGAAGGCACATCATAATAACCTTCCTGAGCCTCAGTTTCCTCAGTGCAAAACAGGGATAATAATCGTAACTACCTCAGGGTTGTTGTAAGGGTTAAATGGTGTAGTGTGTTTAATACGCTTAGCTCAAGTGCCTGGCAAACACTGAGCACTCCATAAATGTTAACTACTGTTATTAACACATAATCCACGACTGCAACAGCATCATTCCTTAGGGTTTTGTTTTTGTTTTGTTTAGAAGAAAAACAGATAAATTAGCCCCACTCCACATCAGAATTCCCAGTGGAGTGAGGTCTCAGTCATTGTGTTGTCCAAGAGTCTCTTGATAAGTTTTAGACTCCATCACTGAGAATCGTCAATGCCCTTTGCTTTATATATAGTCTAAGGAACTAGAGAAGAGGATAGTTACTTGTCCATGGTCTCAAAATAGTAGCAGACTAGGTTTGTATTAAGTCTCCTGATTTTGGGTTACAAGATCTTTCTACCATATCTTCTACCTTGTGAGACACTGCTAAGAAGTGACTCTTGTTAAATAGACAATCAGCCCTCAGTGGTGCACACTATCTAAAGCACATATGTTCCCTGGCATGCTCTGACCCTAGGGGCTTAAATGTTGATTGAGTAATGGTAACATTAACAATGCAAACATCCAGCAAACCGAGTCATTTAAAGATCATCTGAGCTTTTTCTCTTAGCCCTCCTCAGCAACAGCAATCTGCATGGTGGTGGTAAAGATTATCAACTACCAGCCTAGTTTTAAAATTATAGTTCTACATTCCTTGTTCATAAATGAAAAAGTTCGGTATCTTAATGACTATTAATATATATGAAAGCACTTTGAGAAAGTATCAAATGTAATATAACTATAAAATTGTATTATGAATATCTGGGTAGAAGATAAAACATTTGATTAGATGCTGATTGACTTAAAGGCTTTCATGTGTTGGGGACATACAGAATATATAAAGAATCACCTCTATAATTTATTTGTAAATAGGAAAGTGCTATGAATATGTGCAAGTATAGCAAATGTTTTACTGAAGTTACAGCTCCAAACTGAATAACTTGGAAAAATTTGGAATGAATATGTTGGTTTAATTATTTAAAAGTAGTATAAATGATGTCACACACCTGTAATCACAGCACTTGGGAGGTTGAGGCAAGTGGATCATAAATTTGAGGCCAGCATGTACTACATAGACCATGTATTACAAAAAAAAAAAAAAAAGGAAATAAAGTATACTGGTAAAATACAGAGGGTCCAGGGTTCTAAGAAACGAGGTCCTTAGAAGGAGTTTTTTCTTAATCCTGAATATTTTCACACTTCATGTTCCGCTATTAATTAGCATCTTCCGTGTGGTCGGAGCACGTTCATTACCTATCCTGTTGACAGTCATTTTTAACCTGTGTCCTGCATGGTCTTGTGGGTTTGGTTTTCTTTTGTGGTGGTGGGGAGCGGGCTGGCCATAGAACCAGTGCCCTTGAGGAATTACTTAGTTTCCTACTAGTTATAAGTGACACATTTGTCATCTTTTTTTCTATGAGGAATAGCTGAACTTAATTTACTTAATTTCCATTGGTAAAAGTGTCACCAAAAATTCCAGTAATGGCTATTTTTGAGTTTTAGCTACACTTCTCCCTGACCTCTCCCTCCTTCCCACTTCTGCTGTTGATATTGTTATTATTAGGCTCTTCTTACCTCCCACTTCCAGGAGTTCAGATCGGGCTGTTTTGTCCTTGATGATTTTAAGGTTTCATTATCTTGCATTGATTTGCTGTCTCTATTTGGTGTCAGTTTCTGTGCACTATGCACTGTTCATGGCCAGTCCTTTATATGTAAAAAGTCTCCTGCCCTTGAGTTTATTCTCATGTATTGATAGACACCAGCGGCTGATAGCTTTAACCTTTTCTTCCTTCACTCCAGTAGCCTGGATACTTTGAAATTTTTAACTTCCGCTGGGGAATGGTGAACATTTAATTAAGAGAGCTAGAAAAAAGTAGCTTTAAAGGAGCTCATCATACATTGCTGATACAGGTTGACCAAAGGTACCAGTACCTTCATGTGACACACTAGGAAACTGCTGCTAGCCAGAGGCCCACCAGTCAGAGAGCTAGGGCTTGGGCTGCTTTTAAAACTTGGCCCACTCCTAACA